GTTCTCACAGCACCAATCCGGCTGAAGTGGACTCCAACACAGTTCGGCTAGAAATAGGAGTTTAGAAAGCAGTTTTTGGCCTAGGTACCTCCCTGCATCACCCCCCAGTGGGGAAAGTACTGCTGCAAGGACTCGGACCCCAATGGAGACTAACAGGCCCGATCCTGCTGTGGCAAAACTTTCATCGACTGACTGCAATGGCTAAAATGCTAAACCACGTCAATACAGCTATACTTAAGCAAATGATTAGAGCCCCAGCTCTGTATCACATTAACAAATGACTCTTGGCAGAGTCATTTGAAATGACTAGCGTATTGGCTGGACCATTTGAAGTGGATGAAATGTATCCACGAGTTGGGGCGGGTGGGCCCCGTACAAACCTTAGATGCTATGATCTAGATGCTTAGATGTTGATCTGTTATTGATTCTTTCTCTTGCCGGTGACCTTGCTAGCAGTGCTGTCCCACCCAACAATCAAATGTGGAGAGAACAGTGTGCTCCTATCACCATAAGAGGCTGAAGTAGTACAGAACTCCTGGCTGTGACTAAGGAGAGAGTGACGGTGTACAAAATACCGCCTGTCACCACTGCTAGAAAATACAGCACAAGCCTCCCACGAAAGACATACGCCAGGTGGGAGCACACAAAGAGCACCTGGAATCACTAGCTCTGGTGGCAGAACAGCCCACGCGACGTGTCTTTTCCCCTTGTCTGACGCGATGACATTATGTACCCCTCTGATGCAGCAATAAAGGAGTAAAGGAGTCTTTTAAACTTCCCAATTACGTTTTAATTGCTCGCTCGCAATGATACGCACATCTCAGCTCGGCTTCGTTAGCGAACTTCGAAGCTGTAAGGTTCCAGCTAGGCGAACACGCACGTGTATAGCAGTCAAGGTGTGTGTGTGTGAGAGAGACAGCGCTCTGGTACAACGTCGTTTCCGGGCCCTTGTGAAACCCACATTCTTAGAGACCACAGAAAGCTAAGTGTAGAAAAGATAGATGTGTGTGGGGGAGAGTCCACAGTGCTCAGTTGCACAGCTTTCCAGGATTTATAGACGTGTCTCTGTCAATAATTTATTTAAATACCTTTGTCTTCTCATCATAGGGAAAAGCTGTTCTGGCCCAAAGCCATCCTCTGAACACATCATTACTTCAATCTATGGGGAGGCTTGGCTCGGCTCGGCTCTCCACAGCTAGACACGGAACCCAAACACCTTGTGAACTTTGGGCAAATTCGGATGAAGCTTCGGAGTTGGCTCTGACCTTTGAAACCAGGGGCCTCATCTCTAACTAACTCACAGCCAGGTGACAAGCATTTCTGCCTCGTGTTGTCTTACAAAGCTACAGCACTCCAGGCTCCCCCGTGCAAAGCAAGTTCAGAACACTAATATCCAAATCTGTAAACAATCCTACATCACCGTGATAATTACATTCCTGCAGTCCGCACGGACAGATGTAAAGATAGGACGCTGACTTGAGTTTCTACTTGGAACATTTGCTTAAACTGAGCTCCTCGACCTATTCCTCTTGTCACTCCTTAAACCTATTCCTCTTCTCTTCCTCCTCCTACACTTTAGCTTTTAGAAGCAACATCAGCTCTCAGCTTACACCACTGGATTCACTAGAAACATACGTGTTTGTGATTAGTGGCTATGTCTTGCTTGTATCTTTACTTCGTACCCGAAGAGGCACTGCTCGTTTCTCTTCTTTGTATGTGTATCTATCCTAACTTTCCTGCGAAAGACCCGAAAAATATGCAAAGCTTGCACTGCTGCTGAGAAAGAGGACAAAGTTTAACTTCTCTGTTGGCAATCACGAAATAACTCCTAGCAGTTTTCTAGCGAAAGATCTGATTTGCTGAATTTTGTCCTTTGATTTCTGTTTGTATGTTATTGCTACTGCTAAGGTTGTTGCCAACCTCAATTAGATCACAAATGAGATCAGTTTAATTCATCTCCCAAACTGTGACCTGACCATGGTCTGAAAGTATTCAAAAACGCATTTTAAGCCTTCCTTTGATTTCTAAAGGAATACTGCATGCTTGGTCATTCATACAAATAACATAAAACGTAATTATGGGATGATTTGGCAGATGACATTGCTGCCAAACTGCACTCCATGCCAGATACTGTAATGCTGCTGCTGCCCTGGGATTCGAGTGCACAGTGCCCTTTTATAAGGCTGGAGTTAGAGAGAGAGAGAGAGAGAGAGAGAGAGAGAGAGAGAGAGAGAGTGTGTGTGTGTGTGTGTGTGTGTGTGTGTGAGAGAGAGAGAGAGAGAGAGAGAGAGAGAGAGAGAGAG